TCTAGACAATACAAAAAGTATTAGGAATTAAGTATTAAAGGAATGGTTCGGCAACAAATTAATGTTAGCTACTAGGCTAACAAATACTAGAAGTCAACAGGTCACCTGAGTCTTTTCAGCAAATCTTTCTAATGATTTCTGGCAACACTGGTCTCATAGCTCCAGCAGTAAACTGAAATCTGGGTCCATCCATCTTTGGTAAGAAGAGCATTGAGTAAATATGATTCATGCCCTTGAGATTTCTTTCATCTGGACCCATGCCAAACACACTCCAAATGAAATACATTATGAAACCAGAGGCCACGGACCAATCATGCTGAACTGTGTTCATATCCAATGCAAAGTGTGCAAGAATAGCATCACTGGGTATGAAAACAGTAGACACAATCCTCCAGTGTCCTTGCAATCACACAACAATATCTGTAAATATAAAATCAAAAATCAATATGTTTAATTATTTCTCACTCATAGCTCAATGAAACTGGAGAATTTCTGAGAAAAATGCAGATTGTAAACGTCTAATCCATACCACATATGTGTTAAAATATAGAAAAAAATGAGAATTTGTCATATATTGACATTGAAACAAACAGAAGAACAGGGCTGAATCACTTGTTGGTCTTGAAGAAAGCATTGAAATCTCAGTGCTTTTCAGAAATCATAAGGCATTTGAAAAACACGTTGTGATTGAACCAATTCAGGTTAAAGAGGGCCACCAAGGGGGGTACTAAGTGTCCTTAATTCTAAACATCTAAGAATTAAAGACATCATTATGATATTATGACACTTTTGGCTTTTAAGGCCAAGTCCACCTGCTCTGCAGGCTTATGTTTTTCTGCTCTACATCACTACTAATGATCCTACTAATGATCAAGTCCTTTTGGAGCTGATCAGGTGTTTTAGAGCAAAAAATAAATAAATAAATAAAAATAGGTGGGATATACGACTTAAGCTATTTTGAAAAAAAGAGGTGGTAGGGAAATGAGTAAATATTTCTCTAACACAGCACAGATATGTATGCATTAAAGCAATATATGGGGTCTCCTTCACAGAGACTTACACAGCTTGTGCACAAAATTTCATCATCCAAGGAGTTACTCTAGTCCTGACACCTACAGCACTGTAAACACAGCAGAATTAGAATAATGTTAATAAGACTATAAGGCTGTCCTCCTCTTTCAGCGGGTCCTGAACATCTTATTCTGTGGCATTTCATACTTTACTTAAAATCTATTTATTTCTTTTTTTACTTTTAACTGCTAAAACATTTTGTATGAGAGGCATTTCACTAATATGACTGCTAAGTTTGGGCTAAGTCTCATGACTGATCAGATGCAGGCATTAATACCACTTACGTGAAGTCTGTTGGTGTGACTTTCACTGACGAACCTTTAAATGCCGGAGTGGCCTTTTAAAACCTCCACGTATTAACTTTCATCAGACAATCAATGCCCCCCTTGGTAGCCCTCTCTACCCTGATCGGTTTCAACTGCAATGTCTTGTGATACCTGTAAAACACTCAGCACTTCCTTCAAGACCACCACAGTACTCTGGATGGGTAGTTTCTGAGATCTAGACAGAGTTGCTCATTTTGGCCACTGTTCACCAGTTAAGGGGGTAGTCCTTTGAGGGAAAAAGGCTTTATGAGGCAGGAGTTTTTTGTGAGGGAGGGGTGGAGGCAAGAGATGAACAAGAACGAGATGGCAAGAAAGGAGAAGGAGGTGAAGGGGTGAGATTCCAACCAGCACAGCAGCAGTGATATGATATTGATGATGTCATACTGTCGGACGGCAAAACAGGGTCAGATGTGGGTCATGGGGTTGGGCGAAAAGGAAAAAGTGATGAAGAGAAGATAACTGACAGAGCCATCAGAAAATGACAGCTGCAAGTGGCACACCCAACAAACGTCCAAATAAAGCATTTCCAGCTTTAGCGGTCTGAGCGGAGACCAACAGCTTGTTGGGGCAAAAACAGCTCTTCAGCTCCTGAAGCATTTTTTAATAACTTATGTAGCCCTGAATACAACAACCAAGTTTTATTTGTTCCAAATTTTACAAAGGTTTATGTCATATACTGTTCTAGGATCAGGAATTGTCTGAACAGGAGGTGAGTGCAAAGAGAGACGGAGTGACCCCAGATGTTAGGTAACGTTTTCTACACCTAGCTCACTCCATGCCTCGCTGTTTCAGTTTGTCATTCTCAGCTTTCACGCAGCCATTTAATTTACAGGGACGTGACTTCGCTGAAAAGCAAGAGGCCATATTTCAGAGCCTCTGCCACCCAGGCAATAAATATCTCTGACATTAACGGCAGAGATTTGTAAACATTTGGCTAACTGATGACTTGATCGCTCTGCTGTAAAATATGAGAAAGCTACAAAAATTCAGTGTACTATCAGATTGTGGACTGGTGATAAAGTGAATCAGAACAGGTAAAATCTTTTTCTCATCTACCAAAGAACATCATCAGCCTAACTGATTGACACAATATATACAAATGTAATTCACTTACATAATAATGAAAGCATAATGATATACTGAAACTAAAATGTTGAAATTATGATCTTGATCCTGCCAGAGAAATCAGTCTAAATGTTACATGATACATTATTTAACTGTACTTTAAAATGGTTTGTTTACTACGTTTCACGATAACATTTAAATTTTTGCAAGTATGATTCACATCTGATTTACTTAATGAGTGGAATATTAAGTCGATATAAGCTGAGGTTTGTCACAGCAGAGACTGAGACCCACTTGTCAAAACACACGCATTTAGTTCATTACATGCCCGCTCACTGGTTAACAACAGCTACCTAAATACTGTGTATGTGAGAATGTGAGGGTCGAAAAGACTGACAAACATCTCTGACTTCAGAAGAATTCAGTTTGATCACAAGGAGCTTAGTAGCTAGACGTTATCATCCACAAGCACAGCTGATTCCAAATCCTTTAGGTCTCTATATTTTTTGCCAGTGACTGGAAACCGTACTAAATATAATTAATTCATCACTCAGCCTGAGCCCTATCCCTCAATTCGTAACCGTTGTCAAACCATTCTTTAAGAAACCACACCTTTATCCATCTGATCTCTGCCACTGTCATACCATTTTCCAACCCTCCCTTTCCATTTAAGATTTTGAAGGAGAAAGCTGCCCAACAGTGTGGTTCTTTTAGTCCAGTGTTCATAATACAGAAACATAATACAGAGTCAGCAACAGCTAAAATAGTCAATTATTCACTGTTTGCTTCAGACTGTGGAAATGTCTCTCTTGGGGTACTGCTGGATTTGAGTGCAGCCTTTACGTCAACTAACTATGACATTTTAATGGACAGACTTCATCATCAAAAATCATCACTTTAGACACCCAAGCTCCTGCCTGGTTTAGATCTTACTTGATAGCCTTGCTAGTGTAAATAGGGAGTTTTCTGAGAAGAGAGCAAGCAGAGTCCTACAAGGCTCTGCTGCAGGGCCCTTAGTGTTCTCCTTTTCTTTACAGACCCTGGGCTTGTGTAATTGACAGTGTTGGCTATCACTTTATTGCTGAAGATACACACTTATAAGTATCAGCTCAGCCATATTCAGCAACACAGGTACACATAATGTAACACTGTGTTAAAAGAGATGAAAGTCTGGATGATCAGGAACTTCCTCATGCTAAATTCTGATAAAAAAGATTTTAACCTTGACCTAAATGGTTTCCCTATACAACCAAAAACCACAGTCAAGGGCCGTGATGTAACCCTAGATCCTTATCATTTGGACCCATAAAAGGAGCATCTCTTAGACTACATTTTATCACTTGAAAATCATGTCACAATAAGACATATGCTAACCCTACAAGATGCTGAAAATTTTGTTTCTTTCATTACTTCTAAATTACACTGTGTCACTGATCGGTTGTTCTGCCGACTCTCTAAATCGGCTCCAACTAGTTCAAAACACAACAGTCTGTGTTTCTACTAGTAAAAGAACATCTGAGCATATCACTCAGGTCTTTTTCAGTCCACACTGATGTTTTGTAAATTTTCACATTTACAAGGTCTTGCTTATGATACTTAATAGCCTTAATAGCCAAGCTCCCGCATATCGTACTGATCTGTTGATGCGTTACAGCCCATTAAGACTGCTTCGCTCAGCTGAGGCAGGCTTACAGCAAACTCCTAGGATCACTTACAGCTCTGTTTGTAAAAGATCATTTTCTTATTTAGCTCTTAAACTCTGATTATTTAAAGAATAATAGGAATGCAAGTTCAACAAGTGTTTTAAAATCAGAGTAGAACAAATTTGAGCTAGTTTATGCCTTAGAGTAGTACATTTTCTTAAACCTGTCATATACTTCCAATTCGTGCTACGTCACAGGTGGTAGACATAAATCCATTTGTAAAAACTCAACTAGCTGCAACTAACAGCTAATTGTGCAGCATGTGGTAACGTGAAGATTTTTATATTACTATAATAAATTCTCAATTTCTTAAGGACATAAATGAGCCTAAATGGGAGCAAAAGAACATTACAGAAGAGAATACCATTTATCATGTATAACTAATGCCAGTATAAGATTCTTTTTAGTGAGTCAAAAGTCAGGCAGCACCCAAATATCTGTAAGATGCTTAATATTAGGTTGATGTCATTTTTACCATTTTGTATTGGACAGATGGACGAGAGGGTCATAGATCACTGCTTGTCCACTTCTTCCAATTTTTATTTTTTCTACATCATTCGAATACAGGAGCTGCCCTGAACTTTATACTGTGAGCTGATTTCAAGATGAACAGACCAACAGAAATGCCCCAAAGTTACCTGGAATAAAGTTTCTTTACATTAACTTTCATTGAATGTTAAGAACGTTTTTGCATTCTCCTGTAAAGTTTTTTGGACAGTGACAACATGCTCGCTGAGAGACCTTAATCATTACTCCACAGACCATCAAACAAACATTAATATAAACAGTAAGATGTCAAGGCTGTATATTACTGGGAACAGAACAACGCCCTTACCTGGCTTCTTTGGTTCAGGCATGTTTGTGTTTCATATGCTGACCTCCGTCTCGTCTCCTTCTCTGTCGGTGGCTCAGTCCACTTTTCATTCTCCATCCCTTTTTATCCCCCTCCTTCCCTCCCACTTCACATACTCCCCTTACTCAAGAAAGACAGACGAGGGTGGGCGAGGAGTGAAAGAAACGAGGGAAGGAGAGAGTGACAACGAGTGTCACTTGAGATCTTGAGGGAATCCAAGAGGTCTATGGAAAGAAGGAGTGAAAGAAGGAAGGGGGGAGAGGGAGAGGTGAAGAAGGTTTAAAACAGCAACAGAGACTGAGCCCCAGCAGTGAACTTGTTAATTAGCTGTCTTGTTAGAACAACAGCATAATTAGTCATTAGTTAGCTGACGCAGATGCTGAGTGATATACTGACAGGCTTGTTAAAAGCAACTTAATGTGTGACTGCTGAGAACTCACTGCTGTTCATCAGTGTCTCCCCTCAACAAACAAAACATTATGAACAGGTTCCCATTCAGGATCACATACAAATTTTTACCACAAGCCATATTACAACTTAAATAATTGCTTAGTTACCTTAACATATCATTTATCAAGACAAGCCAGTTTAAAGGGCCCATATAATGGAACATAAAACTTTCCCTTTTTGAGATTAAAAAGTGTTTGTTCTAGTACATAAACACGGTTAAAGTTTCAAAACACACTATTTATTCATCATTCCACACAGTCCATGGAAGCTAAGCTGCAAAAACAGCCCGTTCTGTATTGTGTTTGTCACCAAAACCAACTCATTTGCACATTTCCACCTGGCTATTCAGTCTGGACTTTTTTTTTTAAACAAGGAACAATACAGGGCAGTAGGGCGGCAACTAACAAATATTTTCATTTTTGATTATTCGATTGAATATTTTGTTGAATATTAGAATATTCCCTACGAATATAACATGACTGAAATGGAAAAATCTCAGTTACAATATTCACATTAATAAAACATATACATATTATTAAAATTACAATTATGTTCATTAGACATATTCAAATTTGTTATTGTTACTAATTACTGTTTTTTTGAACTACTGCATACATTATTTTGCTTTTAATTATAAGTTTGATTTATGCTTTAATAAGACCTAATAGATGACCAAACTATTCTTTATCTAAGTAGAAACAATGCTCAGGCAAATTTCTGCATAATGAACTAGTTAAATCGTAAACGAAGTCTTTCAGAGAGGTTTGGTATGAAATACTGTGTTGAACGCTTCGTGCTGCATGAACATAAAATGAAATAAATAGTAAATCTGTTCTTTGTTCTATCTAGTTTGTAACGTTTAACAGCCTGTAAGGTCCTTGCTGGTGTAATTCAATAGAAGCAGAACAGAACAACACAGTCCAATTAGGTTAGTAAGGCGTCTTGTGAAACTTAAATATTATCTAATTCCAAGCCGGCATTTTTTATTTGGAAAATACTGTGCCCTTGAAAACACCATGTGCCCTCACTTTATACCAAACTCTTAGAAATCAATTTTCCATCTAAAAACAGTTAAATTATGAAAAATGCAAAAATGTCATTTTTGTCTAGGAACGTGGATATAATACACCTTTTAAACATATTTAAGGTACATATTTGGACCTTACGCCCATTGATGCGCCTTTAAGGTAGAAAACATTTACATTGCTTTTCTACCTACAGGCAAAAAATTACATGTACAGTAACCTTTTTTTATCTGACAGTGAAGCAAGCTAAGCTGCTATTTCAGTTTTCAAGCCTATCCATCCCTGTCCCACCAGCATCACAGTTCACTGACATCCCCTCTGCAGCCCTCTGTGGAGCTTTGTAATTGTGACCAATCTCCCTCCAGCCGCCAACCCTGACCCCTGGCCCCCTGAAACACTTCGCTCTGATAAAAACTCAGTGCTGTGAGATTCGAGTAGCTTGCAGTTGCTTTAGTTTCTCTGCCCTCCCCTGAATATGTGTGTTGTATTGTGAATTCATTACAGTCTTTGGACATATAAGGCACAAGCAAGCGCTTTGGCTCTCATTGGAAATAAATGTTTAAATTTCCATCTCGCCAAAATCGCTGATTCTCAATGTTAAGTTTTGTGTTTGAGGGCTAGAGTCTTTATTAAATATCATTCAGTAAACTAAGCTGCAGTCTACTCAGAGAAGAAAGGCTCCTAAACTTTAGCCAACTTCGTTATCATGTTGCAACGCATTACACTGGAATTTTATGTTACCGCTGCCACCAGCAGGTGAGACGAAAAACTGCAAGGTATTGGCTGGCGGGCCATTTTTAAAACAATCTGAAACAGAAACCATGGGCTCATGACAACCTGCCCATGGGCCACATTTGGCCCTAAAGCCAGACTTTGGAGACCCCTGCCTTAGACGGTACGAGAGGAAACCATGTATCCATTTTAGATTAAGACTAACCCGATAAGAACAGTCTTGAAAAGGGACTAGTTCAGACGCAACAAACTAAACCACGCAAGGTGTTCGAGGAATTGCTGTGCATTCATTTTTATTTAAATTTGTCTGAAAAATAAAAACAGGCCAAATAGGGTAATATTAGCATGGACTGCACTGTTTGTATGTTGTGTAATCTGTGCATATGTGTAGCATACTGGTATAACGGTTATGAAAATGACCATACATGAAGATTTTCAGGTATTTAAACCACTACTAAATAGAATGATACAGTTATCAATGATGTCTGATTCAAGGGCACTTGATTTCTTTAATCAGCTAAACATAGACATGGCTAAGCATAGAAAACTACACTTTTCCTTTCTTATAGCTAGGATGTGCAACTTGAAATGCAGGTGTCAAGGAAAACAGAGAGATGAGACGTAGAGGGAGACTGTGGGAGAGTATGAAAGGGTAGCAACGTGAAATAAAGGCAGAGGGGACAGCAGAATGAAGAAAAGGGATGAGTAGATTAAGTTGAAATACAAAGAGAATTACTCTAAAACACGTTTGTGACCTTAAATTACCTTTAGAAATAAAATCTTCTTAAATGATAAAAGGCTGCAATTAATTAAAAACCCAAGTAATTGGGTTAAAATACAAAGAGTTACACAGAAAGGAAACCAAGTTTTTGGGCCAGATTCACAAAAATATCTCAGGAAATACACCCTGCTTATTTCAGTTTCTTAACATCAGACTTTGGAAAAAACATGAGATAAACCGTCATTCTCCAGTACATTTCAATACAGCAGTGTACTTCAAAACTACAGTGCTGAATTCATAAGAGTGCAACACGCTTAAAAGCTACAAGAAGTCCCTGTACAGCTTTACAAATAACAAAAATCAAATAAAATAAAATTTGTTCATGAAATACAAGTTATTTTACAGCTAACACTCTCAACTTCTTTCTTAAAGTTTCAATAAGAAGCAGTTTTTCTTAATCTTACACTTTTAAAAAATAATAGGTTCTTCAAGGGTTCTTTAATTAAGACAACAGTTCTATACCAAACACCCAATGAACACTCACATTTGTATGCTTAAAAGTTTCTCTGCATGGTGAACCTGTTCTTCAGACTGATGGATGAAAATGATTGGAACCCTCTTTGGTGCTATATAGAACCACTTTAAAAGAGTTTCTAATCAGAACCATTAAAAAACACATTCTCCATCAATCTGAAGAACCAATGCAAAGAACCGTTTAAGTATGCAGCTAAATGGTTTTTAAGGGTTCACAGCTCTAAATACAACCATACCCCTTACTAAAGAACCCTTGAAGAACCATCCATCCATCATCTAAACCGCTTATCCTTCTGGGTCGCGGTAGGGTGCTGGAGCCTATCCCAGCTGTCATTGGGCGGAAGGCCTCTAAGGCCCGAAACAGACTCCACGCAAGGACGCGAACGCAGACGCTTCGAGCTGAGCAGACGGGGTTTCACGCGTTGTTGCGTTCAAAAATGTGTCACGACGCGTTTTATAACGCATCGCAAGCTGCATTCTGAGCGTTACAGCAAGGGGCGCTATAACGACAGCCAAGCCTGACCGAGCGGTCTGGTACCGCCAGCGTGCTTCTCACCTGCCACAGCAGACGAGCAGCTGAGTCTCATGCAAAGACAGCTTAAAAATATGATTGACTATCGCATTTCCAATCCGAGAGAGGAGGTAAAGCAGCTCACTCTCCTCCACTGTCCACGTTCAGCTGTTGAGGCTGCTGGAATAATAGCAGGTCCCTCTCTAAATGTGTACTCTATCGCCCCCTTCAGTACTGAGTGTTTTAACCTCCACAGCAACGCAAGAACGCGCGGTGAGTTTGTACAGAAGTACCGAGCGCTGTCATTTGTGCGCAAAGTATGTTTCTGGCCTAAAACTGTAGCCAACTTCTAATGAGGGTCAGTAAAATAATAGCTAGGTTAGCTAGCTAACTATCTAGCTAAAACAGACCTGCTTTATCAAAGTCTGATAGCATAAATTAGGCTTACTTTAGAATGTCCATTTAAAAGTAATTAGCGTTAGAGTTGTCTGTATTTGTTTACTGTGTCGAATAAACCGGGATTAAATACGGAGTGGGAGAAAATGAATGCAGCTCCGTTTACGTTAGCTTGCTGGCTAGCTAGCCAGCCAACCCACCTCTTTTCAGCAGCCTCTGAGTGACCGCCACAGCATCGCCCACACTGTCTCTGATCAGGAGAACGACTTTCCCCTCCAAATCGACCGATAACGTAAGTTATTTCACTATATTTGCTGACGTTTCTGAACACTTGGTTGTTTTCCTCCATTTTCGGTGTCGTCTCTTCAGGCGCTGTGAGTGAATTAAACTGAACTCTCCTAACGGCTGAAGCCCAACGGTCACCGCCGATTCAAAATTCAAACTGCCTCCAGCTGCTAATGATTGGCTGTAAAAATGTGACGTATGTACACATGCTAAGGATTAAGCGTTCTGATTGGTCTAAAGTGATGATATTTTAATAGTTAATGTTTTTTTTAAATAGAAATTACATATAATTGTCGTTTATCATTAAATTCAGTCATATTCATTCACAATTAAATTTTAATTTTCTGTTCATTTGTTTAAAGCATAGACTGTATGTGAGGAGCAAACAGAGACATACTGTCCACTGTTATATACAGTCTATAGTTAAACT